AGTAATTTTACTATGACCTTAATTATAATTCAAATCTTAGCTTCTCCCATCCCTAGTCCCATCTAGCATCCAAAAAGGCTCCAAAGCAACAAAAATAAAACATAGTTAACTTGCTGACAGATTTTAGGATCACCTGTAAAATTACATTCAGCAATCTCAAAATTACCACGCTATACCTCAAACCAACCGAATGTAATTAATCCTTTTAAAAATGCGGCGTTTGCAATCTCATTTGTTCTCGATCGATGATCAGTAGAAGCAATTAAAAATCAGGACGAATAAATACTGAATCGATTACAATCCCTTGGCTAATATTTATTTATTCTTTTTCCCCCCCTGCTCCTCTTTTCTCGGAGTGGGACCCAATCCCCCTTATGCCTGGAATCCCTCCGTTTGGTCTGCTGTGGTCGTCGAATTAATGAGCATCAGACTGCTAGTTATTCGCTTTCGTCATCATCAGTGAAGGTTCGCCGCACCGAAATGGATGGCCCCAGTTAATCGCGGAAATATCGGGGCGGATCAGCTGTTCTCCAATGAACAACAAACAGCTGGAATTTGCGTGAGTTGTGCGTCACATATCGTAATCTACGTGGATCACGATTCACAACGAATGTTCATCACACCGGACTGAAGATGATCTCAATTGATCGATCCAGTTTTGCAATCACATGCAAGTGCGTCTAGGACAGGGCCATAACCGTTGAAGGTTTCGTGTATATTGCATGGGATTGGATATATCCAATGTGTTATTATTTTTAATTTTTTTTTCTTGCTTAACAGTTGAAGAAAATAATCCGTTTAATATTATCATAAAATTAGTAACGAAAAAATGGTTTGAGAAATGTAGACGAGAACTTTTAAGATGTGATTCTTTCAGTACAAGAACTGAAGGAAAATCGTATTTATCATTAAATATGAGGGATTTTTCAATATTAGTCCCTTACATCTTTGGTAATGTGATATTAGCCCCTTAAATCATCGTATTTTAGTATTAGTCCCTCAAATTTTCATTATGTGTTGATAGAAGTCCTTATATTAGGGTTAGGGTTTTTTAACTAAATTATAATTGGTTTAACCCTAACCAACATTGGCTATTACAAAAATACCCCCAAGTGAGAAATAACCCAACTATGTTCAAATGGATTGTTAGTTATAAGTTCAAATGAGTTTAGGATCCAAGTCCCCCAAGTGAGAAAAACTCCATTGTCACCTTCTAAGTTCAAATGGGTTTGGGATCTAAGTTGTAGAAAGAGAAATTGAGCATGGATGAGTGGATAATCAATGGAAATTTATAAAGTCCCCCTAATAAAATAACCATTGTTTTTTTTTTACCATTGGGAGAGAAGTATAAGATACGAGGAGTGGGTTAATTCGGGTAGGCTCATTAACAGGTTAGGTTAGTGGGGTTATTAATGGGTTAGGTGAGGGTCATAATTAACATTTTATGGAAGAGGGTAAAGTTGACAGAATACACCCTTACATTTATGACCCCAACTAACTCGAGGGACTTATATCAGTACATAATGAAGATTTGTGTGACTCATATCAAAACATTAGTACAGATTATAAAGCTTTAAGGGACTAACATCAAAAAACATTTCCTGAACATAAATATAGATATAGCTCTTGAATTTAGACATTAAACATAACGGAGTCAAAATTTATATTTACATATTTCACCCGAAGAGCAATGTTGCAACCCGAAGGCCTTCGTGGGGTTCAGCCGGCCCAGCACTGCCCATAGCGGATTGAGATCCTCTCATAATGAATAGTGGTCCTAATATCTCTTAATAAGGAGATATCAGCCTTTGATTTATCAATTAAAGGTCAAGATTTCCTCATGAGCAAAAGTAGGGAGCCCCCAACTTTTGCTCATGAGGAGATCTTGATCTTTGATTGATAAATCAAAGGCCAAGATTTCATTAGGAGATATTAGCAACCTCTTTATTAGAGATGATCCCAATCCGCCCATAGCCACGTGGGATCCACAAGAAGGGCAGGTGTTAATGAACGGGGCCCCATTGTTTTGTCACGTTGCTCGGCTTCATCGTGAACTTTCATACCGTGTGGCGGACACGCGGACGCTGCTGAATTCCCGTCGGGCCCACCGAATGAACATAAAATAGAACGTCACTGTCGCCCTCTGCTGGCCACCGGTACAGCACCCACTGGCGTCCCGCGATGTGCTCAGATCCCACTTACTACGGAGCATGATCGAGTGGCAAATGTAGGACAGCAGTCAGCGTACGAGAACTGGGACGCATAACGATGAATTTTATTACCAACAACAATAATATACTACCGCAATCAGGCTATACGCCATTGCGAGCTGCGTTCACGGAAACAATACCAATAATAATTATGTTGTAGCGACATGCCAACAACCGATGGGTAGTTTGGTGGACACTGGTACCTGACAGTAATCAGCAATGGATCTATATGAGTTTAGGGGCTGTTTGGTTATTGTTGGTAAAGTTGTGTATTTATGACGCAACTTGGAAAGTTGTTGTCCACCTCATCAATTTTACTTTTATACTTTTCTTTGTTTGTTTTTGATTCCATTGGAATCATAAATTGCTTGTTTGGTTTGCAAATGTAACTTTAATTGTTTGTTTGAAAAGTGTAAAAAGTGGTCCCTACTCAAAAGATCATATTGGTTTGAATTATTTTTTATTATTTTTTCCTGACTTCAATGTCAGCTTTCTCCTAAAATCATGTCTTTTTTTTATGAAATCACTTTACAAGCCACATCAGCATATGAAATCACTTTACACTATTTTCACAACTACAAACAAACAATTGAAAGTGATGAAAGCTGACATTGGGACCCACATTTTTACACTTTCCATCCTTTTACATGGTAAAAACATACAACCAAACAGCCCCTTAGTGATACCAGAAGCCAGAAGGCTATCTTTTTGTTGCAAAAATCTATCAGACAATTCCCTTGAATAATTGGGTCTTAATATATGTTAACAAAAAGTATGAGAAATCACTAAATGGTCACCGATGCATAACATTAAATATGCAACAAATGAATGTCAGCCGTTAGATCATTAGATATTGAGATTCGTGCACGAATTCAAAACATCTAGTTGATGTACGATAAATGCTAATAAACTGTTCCTACTGGATGCTTCTATGAGAGAACACTAGAAGAAGAGTTTAACAATAATGATATTTAAAGTACATCAAAGAAATGATAATTTTTTGATCTATTGAGAGAAAATATCCATTGCTTACATATTTAAGGTGAAAAAGGGTTTTAAGTAGACATGGGTTATTAGATATTATGATTTATTCTCTTCTCACAGATCAGATGGATTCCAGTGGGCCCACAAATTTATTGTACTAAGATCCTACACCGCTCTGAGGGCCTAGGAGTGGATGTGGACCAGGCAGGTTCAGGCCCGTGACATGACCCGGCAGGTTCAAGGCCGAGTCGGTCCTGACCCGAGTCCAACCAGGTCAGAGTAGGCCGGGCCTAATTCTCTGATCCTGAGTTTAGGACTGGACCCAGCATGACCCATGACCCGACCTACGGCCAGTGGGTCGTGGGCCATCCGGCCCATAGGTTTTTCGTCCAACTTTTTTTACATTTTTAATTATATTAAACTTGCATTTATAATTATTAAATTATTTATAATTTATTTTTAGTGATTTAAACTTGTATTAAACTATTTTTTAACTTGTATTAAACTTTTAATCCTCAAGTAGATAGCAACGAGCTTAAAGATATTTGTTTGTTTTTTAATGGGCCAAAAAGCCCTCAAGCCAAAGATCTATGGCCTTTTGGTTTTATTTAGCAACTAGCTGCAAACCCAAATGGCTAAGGGAATAATTAGTCTAACCAAAAACTATATCATGGGCCAGGGCGGGACGAGCTAGGCCGGGTCGGGGTGTGGGCTGGGCATACTTCTCTGACCTTAGGGCTGGGGCTGGACTTGACCCAGCCCATGAACCGGGTTGGGCCCGGTCGACTATGGCCTGGGCCGGTCGTGACTCATGACGAGCTGGGCCCGGTTTGCCCGTGGGTCGACTCGACCCACTCCCAACCTTATGAGGGCATCGTTGGTTTTTCTCTATAATTAAAACAAACTATGTTTTCATGTGTTTCTAGTGTCTCATTTTTTTTCATGGAAACGTGTTTTCAGTATTTATTTTGGCGGAAAATGATTTAAGGACCCAAAATATGAGACCAAGTGAGGGGACAGGTGATGTGTCTCCTCCCTATTGCATAATGAGTTGGCATAGCCAACTCATTATGTAATAGGGAGGGGACACCTCATCTGTCCCCTCCATTGGTCCCATATTTTGGGTCCCCGTAGCAGCACTCTTATTTTGGCAAATAATATGATGTATAATTAAATTTTATTCCTTTTTAAGTTTGGCTCAAATTAAAATACCAAAAAGTTAAGAAAACTGAGGAAACTTCATTGATTTCTTCTACTTTTTTATTCCGGAAAAATAGGGATTTATTCCGATTTCGGCGTTTGGGGAGAAGAAATTACGTTTCCTTTTGGGATGAATTGGCACGTGACATCTATTGAACATTTTTTTATTTTTTGATAGAAACATCAGAAATTGAGAAAAATGAGTAATTTCTTTTCAGAATTTTCCTCGACCAAACAAGCGGGGGCCTTGAGCGGACGACCGCGTGGTGCCTCGTTGGATTCATCTGGGATTCTGTGAATAGTAGCCGGTGGGAATAGTAGCCGGTGGGCCCGTACACGAACAACAAACACACCTGTCACCAGCGTCGGTCCACGCGCCACGCGTTCTAAAACTCGGTTCACTATCAACCGTCCAATAAGTCTAGCCCCAATCCAACGTCTGAGATTTCCTGAAACTCCTAGCACCACAAACCCTAGGAAATATTCGGCCGCGTTGGGCCACCAAACAAATTAAAAGGCAAATCCCTAATTAAAAGTATATCTAAAAAAATAGAACGATTCTAATATATTCAAAAAAAAAAAAATTCCATTTTAATCTCCAATTAGCATTCTACCGTCACCAGCAACCGCCTCCCGTTCTAGTCCTCCCTAATTTCTCCTCTCCTCCCTCCTTTATTCTTGGATGCTATAAATGAACCCCCTCTTCCTCTCTTCCCAATTCATCCTCGACCCATCAATAAAAATTGCAGCTTTTTTTTCATTTATATGTCTCAGAGACCCAACGTACCTCACTCCTCCTCGATAGCCTTTTCTCTTCATCCCCATCTCCTGGTCTCCAGTGAGATGAACTCAAACTCCAACCGGTAACAAAACCCAGAATTTAACTTGATCCGGTTTCCAACAAATTAACCCAATTTACTCTTCTCAATCCTCTCCTCCCTTCAAAAAAAGAAAAAAAAAAGAAAAAAAAAATTGATAATGGGCGTCAAAGGATTCGTTGAGGGCGGCATCGCCTCGATCGTCGCCGGGTGCTCGACTCACCCGCTGGATCTGATCAAGGTCCGAATGCAGTTGCAGGGCGAATCTCCACAAATCCCTAATCTCCGGCCCGCTTTCGCTTTACCCAACTCCTCGGTCACGATCCCGACGATGCTCCTCCTCCTCCTCCCCCCCCTCCGCCCGGGCCATCTCGAATCGGGGCCCAGATCCTGCTCTCCGAGGGCGCCGCGGCCCTTCGTTCTCCGGCTCTCGCCACCGTCCTCGCCAACCCTCTACTCGACGACGCCGTCATGGTGCCTCTACGACATGAATTCAAGACCAGCTGGTCGACCCCCGGCGACCACGGCGGGCCCCTCGACCCTCCCCCTCCACCTCAAAGATCTGCCGCGCCTCATCTCTCGCGCATCCGGCGCCGCCGTCGGCAACTCCGGCCGACGTCGCCATGGTCCCATGCAGGAAGGACGGCCGCCTCCCCGCCGCCGAGCGCCGCAAGCTACAAGAGCGGTCGTCGACGGGAGCGACGGCGGATGGCCCGGTCCGAGGGGTCAGAAGCCTGTGGAGGGGCTCGTCGCTGACCAGTTCACAGGGCGATGATCGTGACGGCGAGCCAGCTGCGACGTACGACCAGGTGAAGGAGCGGGATAATCGGCAGCGGGCGATGGCGGACGGGCTGGGGACGCACGTGACGCGACTTCGCCGCGGGGTTCGTGGCGCGGTGGCGTCGAACCGCGGTGGATGTGGTGAAGACGAGGGTGATGAACTGAAGGCGGCGGCGGCGGGCGATATGCCGGCGTACACTGGGGCGTTGGACTGCGCGGTGAAGACGGTGAGGGCGGAGGGGCCGAGGGCCCTGTACAAGGGGTTCATCCCGACGATCTCGAGGCAGGGGCCGTTCACCGTCGTGCTGTTTGTGACGCTGGAGCAGGTTAGGAAACTGCTCAAGGATTTCTGATCGCGTGGGAGGGGGTTGGGGTTAATGGATGTACGGTGATACTGGCGACGACGGCGATGATGATGACGAACAAGCTTTATTAGATGCTTACTAGTATTATGTTTTTCTTGAGTTCACATTGGAAGGAGGAGGTGCGAAGATACAGCAATTGAATTAACTATTGGTATTATTAATTGGTAAACGATTTTTTTTTTTTTGAAAAACCCTTCCCTTGCCTGTGGTGTTAACGACCGTTTTTGAGTGAAATGGACCGAACAAGTTATGCTAACATCAAAATATTGCATACGAAGTTAGGAATCACGCATACGAGATCCTTCCCGGCTCACGCCCAACCGCGCACGTATCAACTTTGCCAAAACACGAAAGCACTGAGAATCAATCCCGTAAATTATTGGCAACCGTGTCATCATTTGCTGTCCCCATAATTGACGATCGACAATTAGCAACTAACCAATTTGTGCTTAATCATTAATTACCGATATGACATACAAGATTGTGATCTGTCGACTAAACTTTAGCATGGGCAAAAAAAAAAAAAAAAAAGCCATTGCAAAAGATTGTAATCAGGCAGAGGGCATATAAGTTTCAACGGGTTTTAATAGGCTTGATGTCGCCTTTGGAAATCAAGATTCATTGATCTATGCATGGTGGCTATGACTTCTTCAATATAGATTTTAATTGGTTAATGTACACATCACGTGCAGCTCACATATGGTTATGAATGCACCTACTCCAAAGAATTACTGTTCATACTACAGTAAATGTTACAGGATAAACAGTAAATCAAATTTACTCCTCCATAATTGAAGTCACTGTCCATGCTACATTATTTATTGTGTTGATGTTAAGTGATCACACAGTCAGTTATATCCGTAGTTGGATGATGTTATTGATTATTAATGAGGGACCGCTTTCTTCCCCGACGTTATGTCTGGTTCTTGAGTTGAGTGGCTGAAGACTGCACAAGTAGAAACTCGTGAGAGGACGTGGCTTGGGTCCCCGTGGTTCTTCTGACGATCAAGTTAGCTGATGAACTTGAGTGGGGAAAAATAAAAAAACCGTGAGAGTTCTTATATGTGTAGTATGTCTGCTTAGAAATCAGATAAGATCCAAAGGTCCAAGATCATAAAAAAGATCACTGTTATGTTCGAATAGTACCTATATTTATACCTAGGGTATAAGGGTAAATTTGTCACTTCAACCGAGCACAGGATGACGGTGACGAAGTATGGGCTGGGAGCTGAGTCAGCATTTACTTTACAGGTGTTGGCTCGTGAGTGGGGGAATGATCACTTCAGCATTACACGAGAAGTGATTGGCGGCATGGCGGTGCCCACATGGTCTGATGAGTCATGAAGGCTATCGAGGGCCAGAGGCATGATGCGTCTGTCATGCATTAAATGCTGCCTCTGTCATGCATTAAATGCGATGTTGACACGTCGCTAGTGGGAAAAACTCGAGGTGGAAGCTATCCTTTAACTTCGCTGAGAAGTAATGCCTTTTGAGTTGTCTTCGTAAGGCGTCTAGTATCTGGTCGAGTGGGCTCGTGGCGAGTCGTCTTCGACAAAAGGGGCGACAAGTACCACATTTTGAGTCGATATGAGGGAATGTCGACTCGACAAGTCGGCTGAGTTGTCGTCCCCACTGGTTCCTGACCGTCAATTTAATTGGGGCATTACATGCATAAGTACACATGTCCGTTACTTGGCCATAGGTTGCTTTTTGGTGAATGAGAACACCATAACATATTGTATTATAAACAGTAAAACACATCAAATGTATTAAAACTTGGATTATTTTTTAAGTATAGATGAGTAGATATAATTTCTAAATCAAATGTATTAAAACTTGGATTCTTCTTCAAGTATAGAGGGGTAGATATAATTTCTAATTTTCAGCATATAGTAATTAAATCAAATGGGCTAAAATACCAAATTAGTATATTTATATGAACGCTTTTGCCAGTTTGGTATTTTTAAAAACTCCGGCGACGACAAGGCATTAAAGCTCGTCCTTTTTGCCAATAAGATATTTTTCTCAAACTCCGGCGAGAAATTTTGTTTTGAACCCCTTTATCACCCAAAATTTTTAAATTAGTGCCCTCCCTCTCCTCCTCCTCCTCCTCTCTAATTCCCCTCTCCCTCCAGCGCACCATCGTCCTACTCCTCCTCTCCTCCGTCCCCATCTCCCTCCTATGGGTTAACTTCGGCCCCCTCATCCCCTCCTTCTCCTCTTCCGTTCCCCTCCTTATTTTTTTTATCTCTAGTGCAGCCTGTTGGAGTGGTTGCAGCAATTACCCCGTGGAACTTTCCTTTGGCCATGATTACACGAAAGGTTAAAATTTAAAACAGTTAATGGAGCTGCTTAAATATTCACATAATTAAGACTATATCCTTAATGATGATTATGTTTGTTAACTAAGGTATTATATCCAACAGGTCGGCCCTGCCTTGACTTGTGGGTGCACGGTAGTTGTTTAGCTATCTGAATATACACCCCTCACTGCATTAGCTGTAGCGAAGCTATCTATTCAAGCTGGAATGGTGCAAAAAATCTGAAGTGCAAAAAAAAAAAATCTAAATGGGATAGGAGGAGGAGGAGGAGAGGGAGGAGAGGGGAATGAGAGAGGAGGAGGAGGAGGAGAGGGAGGCGATGAGGGGGCCGAGGTTGACCTAGAGGAGGGAGATGGGGACGAAGGAGAGGAGGAGGAGGACGATGGTGCGCTGGAGGGAGAGGGGAATGGGAGAGGAGGCGGAGGAGGAGGGGGAGGAGGAGAGGGAGGGTACAAATTTAATAATTTTGGGAGATAAGGGGTTTAAAACAAAATTTCATGCCAGAGTTTTGAGAAAAATGCCTTATTGACAAAAAGGTTGAGCTTTAATGCCTTGTCGTCGCCGAAGTTTTTAAAAATACCAAACTGGCAAAAGCGTTCGTATAAATATACCAATTTGATATTTTAGCCAAATCAAATGTATTAATACTTAGAGTGAGACAAATTCATAATTCAGTGCTTAAAAAATAGGGGGCGGTGCAACGCGGGTGCACACTAGTGTTGGTAATAGTTAAAGACTAGGCATTTTTCATCGTGAATCATAGAAAGTATGGTACTTTTGTTCGTTGATTATTGTTATTTCATTATGATAATAGTCATGAGCTGCTACACCAAAAACTGCAAGCTGTTGTTAGTTAAAAAAGTAAACAAAATGCTTATTAGTCCAGCAAGAACAGAGAATAACTTTAAGCAATTAACTTGGCTCGATGAAGGAAGCCAAAGGTCAATTTGTTCCATTTCTGTCTTTTAGGCACCTTCAACTGCTTTAGTAGACCTCTATAAATAGCTTTTGATGCAACAAGAGGCAAATATTATTCTAGAACTAATGAAGATGTCAGTGCTAGCCAATTAAGTCCATTGACCAACTTATCTTGTTCTACGCGTGGACTTTTTCTTTCTAAAAAATGACAAAGTCGAAGTCAAATTCAATTTGAAATCGAACATCAATAGTTATTTGGGAAAATGGTGCTAGTTGTTATCACTTGATTATCCTTTAATGATAATTATCTTTACTTGCTGATGTCACAATTTTTCATTTGCATTTACCTAATCAATAAGCAACCTTTGAGTTAAAACAACTGAAAGATAAATAAGCCCCCTACCCAAACTGGCCCATGCCGATTTTAAAAAAAAACTGTAACTATTAATTATTATTTTTAAACTATTCTGTGATCTTTCTTTTGAAATTTGAGCTTCCAAAAGAATATATAAACATGTGCCCGGAAAAAAAAGATTTCATTCTCAATCACGTGTTTTGCGCCTCACTCCCCGTTATTATAGTTTTTTAGGTGTTTTTATTTTTAGGCCCATTTGTTTACTCTCATTTATCTTTACTCCCCGTTATTATAGTTTTTTAGGGTTTTTTGTTTTTAGGCCCATTTGTTTACTCCCAATTATTTTTAAACCCAAGTACTATTACTTGTATCTTTGAGCCTAACTCTCCTTTTGTATTTATCTTTAAACCCAATCGTCAAAATATAATACTTTTAGCACTTGTATTTATACAGAATCCCCAAAATACCATTGGCCTCATATAAATATCTCTCCTTATCTTACCCTTTCAACTCAGCCCTAAATTAAAAAACGAAACCCCCCTTGCCGTCGTCGCTCGTCTCAGCCGTCGTCGTTCGTCTCGAGCAGCCGTCGCTCGTCTCCAGTCGCGTCTCTAGCCGCCGTCACCGTTGCCGTCGCAACAGGGAAGAGCCTAAAGAGCAAGAGGATGGCGATGATGATGGAGGTGACAATGAGGAAGAAGCGATAAAGGAGGAAGAGGATCAGGAAAATGATGAGGAAGAAGAAGACGAGGATGATGATGAGGAAGAGGCACTCCCTCCACCAAAGAAGAGGAAGAAGTGAAGCCGTTGCAATCTCCTTTCGTGCTCTTTTCCTAACTTTCGAGCTTGTCGGCGTCTTTTATCTAGGGTACCCTTAGGATTCATGATGGTTTTATGTAGGAGTGTTGTTATTTTCCATGTACTAGAGAGAGAAAGAGAGGCTATCAAACTGTGGAGACAATGGCATTGAGCTAGAGTGATCATTGTCTTGATTCAGGGAAACAATGTTAAACTTATACGGAGTTTGGTGATAATTTGACGTTGGTTTTTTTTTATAGAGTGTTGGCCTATTTCTTTAGAACCTGTAATGAAAGTTGTTCACTAGTAGAAAAACGACCAATCTAGACGAAATTTTTTTTCGTCTAGGTTGAATCAAACTAGACGGAAATTTTCCGTCTAGGTTGATCCGTCTAGTTTGGGTTAAACTAGACGGAAAATTCCGTCTAGTTTGTAAAACGAGACGAAAAAGTCAACCTAGACGGAATTCCGTCTAGGTTGATAGGCAACCTAGACGGAATTCCGTCTAGGTTGCAGGGGCAACCCAGACGGAATTCGGTCTAGGTTGCATGGTCAACCTAGACGGAAATTCCGTCTAGGTATTTCCGTCTAGGTTGACAGGCAACCTAGACGGAATTCTGTCTAGGTTGCCTAGGGCAACTCATCTTTTGGCAGCC